TAGGGGGGTATTGGGATTAGGGATTGGGGGTTGCCTGGGAGTGCAGGGACCAGCCTTGATTGGAATGTAGGGGAGATGAGTCCAGGAGCTCGGATGCGGGACAAAGCGAGAGTTAATTAGGAAAGATTGAAGGGACTGGCGACAATGGGACACCACCCGAGTAGAGATGAAATTGCTTCCGTGGATTATTGGGGAGAGGGTGTGAGTTGGAGGGGGGGGGTGGGCTTGGGGATTTTTTTTTACGGGAGGCTTGGATTGATGGCAGCCCCTCTGGTTGGGGCGCAGGGGACTGTAGGAGGCTGACCGGCTGTTCCCACAGTCTGTCTCCCTGCAGCCACCTTTGACACGCAGGTCTGCCAGACGAAGAGCTTTGCTGGGGGGGGGCACAGAGAGTGGGACACGAGGGGAGTAAGCTCAAGGGGGGGGGGAAACAACAACAAAAAAAAGGAAAACAAAAAATTCATCATTATTCTGAATTCGAGACAGAAGGAGAGAGTGAGAGAAAGGAGGGGAATTGGGGAAGGAGGAAGAACCCCCCCCCACACAACCCCGCATGGCAGTCATAGTAACAGGCTCAGGTACAGACAGAAATCTGCAATTGGCGCCGTCTCTAAACCGTCCTGCAAAGACGGATCCGTTAAACTGAAGCTATTTCTCCACTGATGCTGAGACCCATCATTTGCAAACTCATTAGGATCTTTAAAAAACACAGTCGACTTGTAGAGCACCATGGCTGGAGAAGATGTGGACGCCTTCGGCACCCTCCTACACGCTCATCGCTCCTACAGTTAACTGTACTATCAATTATTCCCCTCTCTACAAATCCCAGCGGTCAAAAAATCCACAGGGCGCAAATACACATGTTGGCGTTCTACTCTAGGGTCAGGGCACGTGCAATGTGGGACGACATGCCACGTGGGGGGGGGAGAGTCACAGGTTCACCAGTTTGCAGCATCCTAAAGCCTCTGTGTTGAAGGGTGACGACCTTCCGCCGCTACTGTCCTCGTTCCACGTGCGTATTTGTCAGAAAATGACACAGCCGTCCCCGAGCGAGGTGTCTTCCCAGGGAGGACAAGGTGAAGAGGACGACTTACAGCAGATATTTCTGAAGGGAATATGATAGTATGCAGAAGAAAGACGGGACAGCAAGGGCCAAGACTTCTTATTAAAATTCCTGCAAAATTGCAGAAGATTGTTTTCCCAACTGAGGACGAGGGGCTTGTGGGAAGGACTGTTTTAAGGGGGTGATCGCTGGAATGTGGCATCCAGCTTTGGTCGGCACAGAAAAGGGTAGATAGGATGGCCGCGCTGGCATGGAGAGGGAGTTTGACTTCTCCTTCACGTTCCAGCGGCTACCCTGTTAGCATGGGCTTCCTTTGGGCCGCTGACGTGCATGTTGGCACACGTGTTGCGCCCATGCGCGTTTGGTAGCAGCTGGGAGGCAGGCAGCACCCGCCAGAGGCGAAGCCCCACTGCTGACCCTGTCAGCAAATGATTGGCCCTGATAACTACCACACTGCATCAGTCAGCCTCATGGTCACTGCGCCGTCACCTCCAAGCTCCAAACATAAAAACACACTGCTTTACACTCCGAGGTCCCACAATTCACATTAACTTAAATAATGCATTAAATATATATTAA